ATTTTAGTGGGGCTGGGCCTGAGGGATGCCATCAGCTGACAGACTACAGTCACCCAGTTACTCTAACAAACCCCAGACGCCCACATACACCTGCTCACACATCGACCTGCAATTAGACTGGAGCTTGACACACCCACCTACAATAATGCTGACATCTACACATAAACAAGCCCACAGGAGGGATGTACACACATTGACACCACACTGGTAGCACCACCCACCATGTCGCGCGCGCGCACGCGCACGCGCGCGCACACACACACACACACACACACACACACACACACACACACACACAGCATGTTCTCTTGAGCTTCTTTAGTCCCGAGTAGCTGGGAGCAGAAAACCCCGCACTAACCCATTAACAGCTATGTACAGTAGACAAATGAGTTTGTGAGGACAGTCCACCTTGACGCATACCCAGGCCATCCTGCATCTTGAACTTTGTAAGTTCAGAAGCGCATCTGGAGTTCCCATCAGCCCTTCATAGCCCCCAACCCAGGAGAAGACAGACCCCTCCCACCTGCAGCCCTGGCCTTCCAGCCAGCCTGGACTTTTGGGTTTGGGGCCTACCCACTGCCCATAGGCTGGGTAGGACACAGGAGCTCCTGTTTGAGTCCCCTCCATCAAAGACCCGAGTACTTGGGAAGCCCTGGAGAAGCTTGGGAGGGAAGGATGGGGACCTGAGACGGTCTAGCCAGCCAGGGTGATCGGTGTGACCCCATGGAGATCGCCACCTGTCTTGTCACTGTAACCCCAACAATGAGCTCTCTGTTGTTCAGGTTCTACCTGCTCTTCCCTTCTGCCCCGCTGACGTACACACAGGCATTGCACACTGAACATGCCGACCACAGGAGCACTACAGAGCAGAGAGCTGACCCATCCACTACTCCTTCCCCCTTTCCCCCTTGATGGTAGAGTTAACCCCCTCTGGCTGGGACAGGCATTTCACCTCAACCTGACCTTTAGGACACGAGCCAGCTGCCCAGCATTTTTGCTGCTCAGAGTTAGCTTGGGGTGGGGCAGGGCCCACCCAGGTCACTCCCGTACAGACCCTCCCAGCTGCGGAGGCCCCTGTACCAGGACCTGGGTTGGGGGATGGGAGGAGACAGTTTCCCACACCCACCCTAAGGGACTTCAAAGTCAAACCTCCCGCCCAAGCACCCTAGGCCGGCAGACACGTGGCGGGAAGTATGCGATCAGCTCCCAGCCCAGGAACTCAAGTCAGGGCTTTGAGCCCCACACACCAGGGGACATGGCTGCCAACAACCTTACAGTCCCGCACCGGGAAGAGAAGGGACAGACACACAGTCTCAGGAAGGGTGCAGTCAGACACAGACGGGAGGGAGACCCCCGCTGACAAAGGGCAAGCAAGCACAGACAGACACAGGGCGGGAAGCCTGCACCACGCCTGCAGACAAAGAGACAGAAGGGGGCGGGGCCTGGCGCCTCCACCCCGCCCCGCCTCCCCAGACCGACTCCCACAGGCATGCTGTCCTGTTGGGAATACCCATAGCAGACACCTCCCGTTGCATAAGGTTAAAAATCAGAGTTCCGAAGGACAAGAAAGCAGCAGAGTGGAGTTAAGAGAATAAAATAGGATGTCTGCAACATGACCCGTATTGCCCAGAGTGTCTTGTGTGCCTTGTAAATGTCCATTTTAGCTTTCAGGAACCCCTTAGAAACTATTTTGAACTTGTTGCATCCCCTTCCCCAGGGGTATCCTGGGGATCTGTACAAAGCCCTCGATTGCAGCTCACCTTGACGCTTCTAGGCCTGTACCTTCTCAGGGCCAAGAGCAAGCGTCCAAGGCAGGAGACCCTCCTTTCGCACGAAGACGAAGGGCTGCCCCCCCCCCAGCCCCTGACCTCAAATGGGGACTGCTGGCCAGGTACACAAGTCTCCGGTGTGAGAATGTGACCAGTCCTAAGAACTGGGCTGAGGGTAGGGTAAGGGTCCTTCCCAGGTGGGAGTGCTTCCTGAGACCAGCTAGCTTCAGGGTTTGGGGCTATGGGTTGGGGGTGGATCTTAGAAGGAGCTTAGCTTCTAAGGGACTTCTGGGGATGCTCTGGAAGCACACTGAGGTGCTAGACAGTTTGGGACCTAAGCTCTCTCAGGTAGAGTTTGGAGGCAGATCTAGCAGGACAGGCTTGCAGGAGGGACCTACCCAGCCAGAGAACTGAATTGAGCTGAGATCTGGGGTCGTGGCCTGGGGCTGCATACGCTGGTATCCCCCCCACCCCACCCCCGGTGAGTTAACTGGGTTTCACACAAGCTTGGTTACACTTGGTGCTTGAGATCTGCCTTGTGTAATCTCAGGAAATCCCTGAGGGTAATCACTCCCCTCTGTGAAGGGTCAGGAGCTCAGGTAAAGCAAAGTTGGCAGTGCCAAGGGTCTTTGCCCAAGTGGGCAGATGCTCCACCGAAAGGCCTTGGGAATCTTGTCCTATCCTTAGACATTTAGAAGAGTGGGTGTGGGAGCGGAGGAGGCAGTTCCGCAGTTCAGCCATCCTTTCCCAGCTCACTGCCCCACTGGGAAGGGCGGAGGTGGGCTCAGAAGGAAATTTAAGCTTAGACTATGGGAAAGCAGAAAGGTTTACATTGTATTGAAGCCTTATTTATCTCACAGTCAAGCTTGCCCGAGGAGCCTGTTACACTGTGTTAAAGGAATTTGTTTACGCCTCAGTTGGCTTTGTGACCCTCCCAGACCAGAACCTGGCTACCAGACTTCCTAGGTGGCTAGAACTCTCCCACCTTTCTGGTCTTTTGGCCTCACTCTCCTCAGCTAACTAGAGTGTGTGGGGGCAGGGTTCTGCGCCTCAGGACTGCTTTGGAAGCATTTACCTTTATCTCACTATATAGCCTTCACTAGGAACTTAGCCTTTATCACCGGCTGGTCTGGAGCTGCAACAGTCCTAAGTCTCATAGTGTTGAGGTGTCAGGTACACACACTATTTTGGGTGCATCCCTTGAATAAATAAAGTACATGAGATGAGACTGGCACATCATTGCCTGTGTTGCAGGGGCCATACTTTTTTTTTCTCTGTGTGGCTTTGGAGCCTGTCCTGGAACTCGCTCTGTAGAGCAGTCTGGTCTCAAACTCACAGAGATCCACCTGCCTCTGTCTCTGGAGTGCTGGGATTAAAGGTGTGTGCCATCACCGCCCGGCTAGGGGCCATACATTTTTACATTATAATTTGTATTTGTGTTTCTTCTCCTGGGTCTCCTAAAAGACAGATGATGCTGAGTAACTGATGGCTCATGAGAGTGAAAAGGACCCTGGCTTCTCCATCACCCTACATGTTCCCTACCTCTCTAGGTTATTCCTTATTCCAGTTCTCCAAGAAATTTGCCAAGGGTTTGGGGGAACATTCAACCTGTCGGTGAGTTTGGGCAGCTCAGACAAACCATCGACCGTTGAGTGGACCCCGAGGCCTGGAACTGCCGTCTACCCGATCATCATCCCCACCTTCTAGATCTGGGAGATGCCCCTGGCAGCCTGGCATCCCCTCTCTCAGGCCTCAGAGAAGGTCACAATCAACATTCATTGTTGTCGGTGGGTTGTGAGGAGGAGGCCAGACCCACCGGGGGATGAATGTCACTGTGGCTGGGTCATACAACAGTCTTAGGGGTGAGGAGGGCAGGACCTCTTAGATGTCCCCAAGTTCTTCAGCCTGTCAATACTCCTCTTGGGGAGACGCACTGGTATCTGGGACCTTAATGGGCAGATTGGAATTGGGAAATAAACCTTTGAGGATTAGATGTTGGGGGAATCATTATGTGGGGGCTCAGTGGGCTGAAACCATTCCTGAAATGATGGATGTTTGCTCAATGAGGTTTCAGCAATGGGTGAATTGGTAGACAGGCATGGGATGGACGCATGGGTCTGTCCCAGCCAGTGGGGACTCAGGCTGAGGCCTCCTCTGACTGCAGGCAGTGCTGAGGGTCAGAGAGCTAGCACATGCTGGGATGCAGCCTCCTGCACTGGAGGACTCTTCCCCTCCTTCTCTGCGTCTGCACCCCAACCTTGAGGTTCCTAACTGAGCTAACTGAAGGAGGAAAAGTTGGGAACTCCCCTCCAACTAAGGATAAACAACTGAGGTGACAATTAACATATCAAAGCTACACTGGCTGCCAGGTCCTTACCGCATCCCTCAGTCCCTACCTGTTATGTGGTCCCCTGGCTGGCATACCTGTCACCTACCCTGAACTTCTCTAGCCCTCCCCCGCCCCCGCCCCCCCCCCCCCGGCTTTTCTGTTTCCTATATAACCTAGCCGTTTTTTGGTTATATGCTTTCTTAACACACCCCCCCATTTTGCCTCTTGGCTGCCATTACAGGGTCTCTTCTCTCTCTCCTCACATGAGCTGGCTCAGTCTGCTGTCATGTCTGCTCTAGACTCTCCCTTTTATCTACAATAACCCTCCTCAACCCCTTAGGAGCACTCATGTCCTCCTTTATTTCTTTTTGTCATTCACACTTCATGACTAAGTTCTCAGTCACTGGAGTGGGCATGAAAATCCCTTAGCAAAGCCAGGGCTTTGGGACCCAGCCCTTGTCTCCCCCTACCCCTCCATGTACAGACCCCTTCCTAAGTACTGACATTGCTGCATTACTAGACCTAAGGAGGACTCAAGGCCAGTTGGCCCTTTCTCCAGCCCTAGGGGAGGAAGAGGGAAAAATTAGTAAATCACCCCCCAGTTTAAGGGTTTGGCCCTAGGGCAGAGTTCTTAGCCATCTCCCCGCCTCTTCACTTAGCTAGCCAGCAAGGATTGACCTCCCACAGGGAGGGGGAGGAGACCCTGGGGAAGCCTGGAGGGTTCAGCAGCTTCTGGTTTACCTCCAGCCCACACAAACACCATATACCCCCTGGGCAGGTATGTAAGAAGCCCCCAGTGACAATGAGGGACCCCCCAGAGCCAACGTGCTCCACCCTCTCACACCCCCTCAAGGTAGAAAAGCAGCCAGAGAAGCTTGAGCTTCAGGGACAGAGGAAAGCAGGGTTTTCCCTCAGTCTGCTCCTCTGCCTAACCATGGGGACTTTCAACCTGTGGACAGACTACCTGGGCCTGGCAAGCCTGGTTGGGGCTCTGCATGAGGAAGAGGTACCTGATGGCAGGCTGGACCCCAAGCCAGAGCCTAAGCCGAGCCCAGAAAGCCAGAAAGCCAGCAAGGAACCCTCAACAGCTCCTGAACGTTTGTGCTCATTCTGCAAGCACAATGGCGAGTCCCGTGCCATCTACCAGTCCCATGTCCTGAAGGATGAGGCTGGCCGGGTGCTGTGTCCCATCCTGAGGGATTATGTGTGTCCCCAGTGTGGAGCTACTCAGGAGCACGCCCACACTCGGCGCTTCTGCCCACTCACCGGCCAGGGCTACACTTCTGTCTACTGCTACACCGCCCGGAACTCTGCAGGCAAAAAGCTGACCCGGCCTGACAAGGCAAAGACACAGGGTGCTGGCCACCGCTCTGGAGGAGAAGCAGCAGCAGCAGGTGTCTATGCAGGTGGTTTAGGGACTGGGTGGAGAAGGGACCCATTCTAGGCTCTCAGTGATTTGGGGTGTTTAAGAGTGCTGTGAAATTAAGCAGCCCACAGAGAGCATCTTGGAAGCCTTGTATAGAGCATGGCTGGAGAGCATGGTTTTTACATTGCAGTGTGGTTTTTCACAAGTCACTCTCCCTCTCTGAGCAGTCCAGGCATGGGGTGGTAGAGATGTTGGGGTGTAGTGTGAGCTCTGATTTCCACTTGGGGGTGAGGAGTTGTGAAGTTTGGAGGAAGCTGCCAAGCCCATTCTGAACCCTGAAATCACTTGTTCATTTGCCAAATATTTACAAGTCTGTTACATGCTGGGTGGACAGGAGAGTGGCAGTTAAGATAGTGCTGAATGGGGGAGCACTTGGCTCAGATGAGGGGGGGGTCTTCCTGGAGAAGGTATCTACTAGGAGTCTTAATTCCTTCATTTCTGCTGTGGGAGGTGGAAAGTGTGGTCTGGGCCTTCTCGGAAACTATCATAAGGTTCAGTGTGACTGGCTGGGTATGGTGTGCACTGTGGGGTAGAGTGGCTAGAGATTTTTGGACTTTTGAGGTGTCACTTTAGGGAGTCTGGAGTTAGGACTCATGTATAGTGCTTAAGAGACCCTGATTTTGCTCCTCAGTCAGAACCATAAAAATTTTGGGATGCGATGCCAACATGATCATTGTTCTACAGTCATCCAGTACAGACTGTTCTAATCTAACTCTGAAGACCCGAGTTTGATCCCTAGGGATCCATGTGGTAGGAGAGAACTGGTTTCCTTCAAATTGTCCTCTGACCTCCACACCACAAACACACTTCTCAGAATTCTGCAGGAGCGTCAGACCAGGACCAACGGGTCCTGTGGTTGTTATGGATCTTAAGGGCTCACTACAAGGCAGCAAGGCAGGAATGGGGGACAGGCTGGTGAGGCTGCACTTGGACCCCTCAGGAACTTACTTGGTGGGTCTGTACTGTTAATATTGTGAGGCCTCCCCCCACAAATGCAGGGTACCACCCTCCAGGGCCAGGCCGAATCACCTGAAACTAAAAGGTTTCTAAAGCTTTTAGGTGTGTGGATGGTTTGCTTGCATGTCTGTACCCTTGCACTTCGGAAGAGCGTGTGGGATCCCCTGGAACTGGTAAGATGGTTAGGAGCCACCATGTGGTGCTAGGAATTGAACCCCAGTCCCCTGGAAAGCAGCCAGTGCTCCTAAAAAAGGAGTCAGGTCTCCTGGCCCTAAGTTTTAATGCTTTCCATGCTAATGGACCCTAGTGCAGGGTGCCCTCATGTTTCCTGTTTTTCTTTGTTTACCATCTCTGATTTATTTGTTTTGGTTTTTTGAGGCAGGGTTTCTCTGTGTAGCACTGGATGTACTGGAACCAGCTCTGTAGACCAGGCTGGCCTTGAACTCCTGAGTGTGCCCTAATGCCTGGCTGTTTCTTAAAATCTTTTTTACACATACCACTTGCAAGAATCAGTCCTCTCCTTCCACCATGTGGGTCTGGGGTACAGAACTCAGATTGCCAGGCTTGGCCACAAGCTCCCTTTTACCCACTGAGCCACTTCACCAGCCCTCAAGAAATGCAGATAATTTAATTTCGTGTTTATGGATGTTTTGCCTCTGTGTGGATGGATGGATGGATGTGTACCACCTGAGCAGTCCAGAAGAGGTATGAGAAACCCCGGAACATGAGTCACAGCTGGTTGTGAGTAGCCATAAGGGTGCTGGAAACCAAATGTGGGTCCTCTGCAAAGGTGCTGATTTTGGTAAGCTAGCTCTTACCTGTTTTGTTGTTTTTCTTGTTTTGACACAACTCTTTATTTTGTAGCTCAGGCTTTCCTGCGAAGTGCCAGGGTGGCAGGTGCCTGCATGTCTAAAAGTTCTGCAGGCCTCAGTTCCTGTGAGGCCTCAGGAGGGAAACTGAAAGTTTGTGGGTGAGGCGCTGAAGGTGGCTCAGAAGGTCAGCTGGCTGCTTCACCTTGGCTGGTTGTTGGTTGTGTGCTTGTCTCACTGGATAGTCTGGGAGTTTCTGAGGGGTGGCAGTGGACCCTGGTTAGAGGCCACTTATCTGCAGGTGAGGATCCCATTCTGTGAATTTTTTTAGTTGTTTTAAGACGACGGTCTCTCTCTCCGTGTAGCTCAGGGTGGACTTGAAAGAATGTGCTCAGCCTCCCTGTTGCTGAAACAGACATGAACCCCCATGCCTGCCTGTTAAAGAGTTTTATGTTGTCAATCTGATGTGAAGATGGATCCCAGGACCTTCTGCATGCTGCACCACAGCCCTATCCCTCCTAGTGGGGTCTTAGAGGGATTCTTAAGACCTGAGAAGCTAACAATAAGGAATTATAAGAGATGACGGTCTCTGGATTCTGAAGGGACAGAAATACCTCCCTGGTATTGGAAGGTGCCCTCACCAGCACACTATCACAGCAAGCTGAGCATTGCATTCTGGGTGTAAGGAATGTAAGGTCCCTTGTAGCCTGGCAGGGACACCACCTTTATTTGAGCAGCATTTCTGTGCTTTTGCTGTGGGGCCCAGGATAACCCCAGGTGTGGCCACCAGGTGGCGTAGCATCCCAAGAGGCCCTAGGTCCCACCATGAGTAAATACCCCGTTCACCACCTGAGCCACTCACTTCAGCATTTCTCTCCTTTGCTCTCAACCTTCAGGTTCCAAAAGTGGCAAGAAGCCCTCTGGACCTTCACCCTCGGCCTACAGTCCCTCCACTACAGCCTAGGAGCTTGGAGTGGGGAGGACCATGGGGTGCCCTTGCCAAGGGTCTGGACACAGGCATGCTGGAGACTGAACCTTGCTTAAGACTCCGAGGCTGGCCACAGTTGTTGGAGATCGCCCTTCCCCCACCCTAGTCCTGCTTGTGTTGTTGCATCAGCACCCAATAAATGGTGAGGAGTGGAGCCTAGTCTTGGGACAAGGTGGTGTGAATCTGGCTGGCAGGGACACCTCTAGTCTACAGACATCTTCACTCCCTGTCACCTCCCACCTGAGAAACTGCTCTTTGAATCTTGGGGTCACCTTGGGGAGCATGAGGGCAGCTGTGAGGTTTTTAAACTTCCAGCCACTCAATGCATACTGATATGCAAAACAGGGGCCTCCTCTTGCACTGAAGGTGCACAGGACTTAGGGGAACAGGCTGGCACAAATACAGTGACAGGGCTTGATTGGGTTGGGGTCTACACTCTGTGGACCATCATGAATCTTTGTCTCCTTCAGCCCCACTCCTATGGGAGTACTGAGGGCAACACTGCCTGGATTCATCTAACTGGCTTGAGGCTTCACCCTCAGCCCATATTCTTCTGGGGCTAAGGCCAGGGAGGAGGGAGGTGAATGAAGGAGGGCTCCTTAGTTTCCTGGGGTCTGTGAGTGGCATTGGGGTGGAAGCAAGTCCTTGCATAACCCAAAGCACCAACCAGAGTCTGAGCCCAGAGATGGGAAGGACTAGGTAGAGTTAGGGACAGCTATCCCCGCCAGTCATAACCCTGCCTGTCTCACAGCCTCCAACAGTGGGTTTCCCTTATCAGGAGGCTGAGTGGGTAGGCCCTGCCTTTGCTGTGAGAGTTAAGGCCTGAGCCAACCTAGGCATGTATTTCTGCAAACAGGTGACTGCCCCTGGCACATCTGAACACTGTTATGTCCAGAGGCAGGGGTGGGGTGGGTGATCAGTGTTCATTCCTAGGCCACAGGCAGGACTCTCACCCTGTCTGGAAACTTGGCTGTAACAGCTTCAGGGAAGCTTTGTGTCCTCCGTATGGACGTGTTTCCCATATACTCATGGCCACCCTCCTAGAAACTTGGGAAACTGCGCTGTGGGGAGACCCTGATCTGTATTCTGGCAGCCCTGCTCTGGCAAGAGTGGTTCTGGCTAGCCCGTCTAGCCTTCTGCAGGTAGAGAAAGAAAGAACTGGAAAAAGAGAAGGCAGCTGCAGGAAAATTGAGGTTACAGTGGTCTGTGGGCAGAAAATAGGGACTGGGAACATCTCTACCACAGCTGAAATCACAGGCTCTTGACTGCATCATTTATTCCCCACCTTCCCAAAGGTAACAGGGACAGCCTGTATGTGTGTGTGGGGGGGGCACAAGAACAGAGAGCAACTCTTCCCTCTGGGAACGACGACAGCTCAGTGCAGCGTGGCTCAGGAGCCTGGGCTCTGAAAGCTGGAGGAGCATCTGGGGCAGGGCAGTGTTCTCAGATGATTTCTGAAGCTCGGGTGCCCTCAGCCTCGGGTATATGGAGCCCCAGGTAAGCAGACCCCCATAGGCCTGGAGGGCACGTTGAGTCGCAGGCTGGAGCAGCCTAGAGTTCCCTCCAACCGTGATCCCCTCTAGCAAGGCTCCCCGCCCCCTTTGTCAGGTGAGGCAGAGGCTTGGTCTTCCTTCGCTTAAAGGCCTCCAGGTCCCGGTAGGTGCTCATAATCAACCGGCTGTGGAAGAAACAGGGAAATGGGGGGCACTAGCTGGGACCTCCCCACTGCACACGGCCTGTCTCACCACACCTGCCAGGGGCTCCTCACAGGTGCACAAATGGCAGATGCAGGCATAGCCTGAGACATGTAGGCCAGAGGTGACAGTTGGAATTCAACCACACAAATGTAAAGGCAGAGGCAGCCAGGGGTAGGGCCACCAGATACCCGCCCCCCCCAACACTTGTAGTCATGCTTCAATTTCTACTATTCCCCTGTTCTTTGTGGTGACTTGAGCTGCCCTTACTTGAGACTGGAGAGCTCCACCACAAGGCCACGCACTGTGTCTGTGGCATCTTGCATCCTGCAGGCCTCCTGGGCCCAGGTCCCCACAGCAGGTCTGTCAGGAGGAGGGAGGAAGAAAAGAGTGGCCTAAGTGCTCAGGATGGTCAGCCATTTGTTCACTGGGTTTGAGGGGCTTTCCAATCACCCCTCCCCTGTACCGAGAACAACCCCTGCTACCACATACTGCCATGCTTAGGTTGCTGCCATGACCTTCTTGACCTTGCCCACTAATGGGTACCACCTGTCCTCACCTGGACCCTGCCCATTCTTCTAGTGCTTCTGAAGATTCTGGAATATTCTTACCCAGTTTGTCTTGATGTTTGGATTTTAACTCCTTGAACGACCCCCTTCTGAACACTTGATTAAACTCTATAATTTGTTCCCCATGGTCCCTGGCATTCAAGATAATCTAGAAGGGGACATGCCACAACTTTTCCTACAGGGATGTACAGCCTGTATGTATAGGCAGAACAAGAGCCCTGTCAGTTCAGGTTAACAGCTGTCTCTCTGAACTTACTATACTCAAGAGCCCCGGTTCTGCCACACAGGCTCCAGGCAACTTATGGGTGGCTGTCTGCAGGCCCTCAGCTTTCCTAGAGTTTCATTCAGTCACAGGCCACCAACTAGACCCACACTGGACCCACACTGGGGCAGCACTGACTGGCATCTTTCTTAGTAACAATGGGTACCGTGGCTAACCTGATTCTGGAACATTGAAGGGAGGAGAGTGAGGTGTGTGGGTAAGGACTGTGTTGACAAGTGACTGGAGGAGGGAAGGGACAAAGGAGGTCAGGGTGGCATTCTAGCCCTCCTTCATGATTGCCTGATGGAAATAGAAACTTGCAGTAAATCATTGATAAGTCTCTGCAGAGACACGGTCAGGGTCAAGTGCAAGGTAACAGGAGGGAAGGCCTTTAAGGGCAGACAGGGTAGTGAGGAGAAAGTGTGGGGCAGTCCCTGGGGTGCCTGGCCAGAGGCAGAGCTGGAAGCAGCCTCACATTCTTTCTGCACAGTTATTAGGTCTGATTAGACCCTAGTTATAGAGCTCAGAAACACCTGGGCTCCTCCTCTTAGGACACCCATGTACAAAGAGTGGAACAGTCTAAGGTGCTGGAGAGACTGCCCCAGGGCACCCAGATCCTAAGGACAGGCACTTCTTTGAGTGTGGAGCATGGGCCACCTGAGTCCTCAGGACATGGCAGTTTTAAAGAGAGCCTCACTTCCCATTCTGGATTGAAGACTGGGAAGCCTACCTGGGTTGAGCTTTGGCCATGGCCGTTGGGGATCCTCTGATGGCACATGGGTTAGGGACAGGCCAGCCATGGCCTGGCACATTTCCTGCAGGAAAACCCTGGAAGGAGTAGGGACAGTGTGAATGGCCCAGCCTGGCAGAGGGAAGCTGTACAGTACCTAAGGCATCCCTTGAGCTGAGCTCCTACAGAGGAGGCATGAGTGGCTTTGGACAACTGCTTCGCCCTCCTTGCTTCAGGCTGCTGTGTATCATGATCGAATGATGAGTTTATCCCAATCACTGTAGAAGTGTCCCAAAAATCTTAAAAGATCCTGGACAAAGCTGGGTGTAGTGGCGCACACCTTTAATCCCAGCATTTGGGAAGCAGAGCAGGTGGATCTTCATGAGTTTGAGGCCAGCCTGGTTTTACATAGAGTTCCAGGACAGCCAGGAATATATAGCGAGACCATAGCCAAGCATGGTGGTACAGTTGTAATCCTAGAAATTTGGGGACTGGGGCAGGATTGGTGTGAGTTTGGGGCCATCCTCCTGGGTTTAAGGCTACCCCGTGTGAGTGTGGTCATGTGAGACTGATATCCCACCCCCTTTAAAAAAGGGAAAAGACCCTGGAGCTGGGGCACGTGTAACTCTGGCCTATAGAGACACTATCTTGGGACCCAAGTGGCAGCAGCAGAAAGGAGGTGGTGTTACTTGCCTCAGGCATGAGTATGCAATGAGGGAAAGAGTCAGGAGGGGCATGCTGGACTGGTGGCACAGATCTGGGAGGGTCATTTGAGCCCAGCCAGGACAACTTTCCAAGACCCATCTAAAATGAAATGAAATCTGGTGTTCACATTTACCCATTGTACTACACTGCTCAGTTGTGGGGAAGAGAACCTCCCCCTAAAAAGGTCCCAGCATTCCTATAGAGTGTCTGTTGCCTTGACAAAAGGGGCTATGGCACTTTAAGCCCTGCAAGCCTCAGCCAAATGCTGATGCTCAAACCCAGGAGGGACAAAAGGATCTGTTTTCCCCAAGTATTAGGGATGGAGCTCAGGGCCCACATATGCCATCCCAGCTTCAGACCAACCCTGTACAAGGCTGAGACTATCACTGCAGGGTGACCTACAGGCATGCCCTCTGCTGGGATGGCTGTGAGGTCAACAGGAGACCCACTTCTAATCCTAAATGTCCCTATGTTGGGAGACAGCCTCTGCCCTCCAGCTGGGCTGGGCTGCTGCTGGCCTTATCTAATAGGAACATGCACAGTGTCTGGGTCACCCTGACTTGTTCAGGAATGCCTAGTGTCAAAGATAACCACTCCCAGGATGGTGCTGCCTGTTGTCTGACATAAGCTGAATGCTAGCTTCCTTTTGTCCTGATAGATCTTCTTTACAGAAGTGGATAGAACCCCAGGTTTGCATAGTGCTAACACAAGCCATGTTAACCTACACCACAGGCCTGGTGTCCAGAAGTACAGCAGCCCAGCAAGTTCCCCAACAAGGATGGAAGGGCAGGCTGTCTCTCTAGCCCTTTGGTGCTAGGATGGAACCCATGGCCTTGAAGGGGGGCTGCCTGTTTATTGGCTTCAGCACTAGGTAAAATTCTTTGCTTACATTGAGGGATTGTGTCTTATGAAAAGCCTCTCTCAAAATGGCAAAATGGACTAAGTGCCTCATCAGAAGGCTATGCCTTAGTGTGAAGTCCTGGCTCTTTGGGAGGACACTCATAGCCTGCTGGAGACCACCAAGCAACCGTAGACTCCAGCAGACTTAGGTACAACACAGGCTCCTCCTCTCCCACAGGGTGCCTGGCCTCACTCAGCCTCTAACTTTGCCTGTGTAGGAGCCAGATGCCAGCCTTGGACCAGTGACCTCGAATGTCTGGCCTTGGCTCACAGGCACGGAAGCCTACATCTGGGCAGCCGCGGGTGGACAAGAGCTGGGTGGTGGACATGTCGCATTCCCAGCAAGTCTCAAGGGAGCAAGGGCTTCTTCCAGTTCAGGAATGAGTCCCCTTCCCCATCTGCTGTAGGAGCGCTAGGTTTTCCAAGTGTGTGACTAGTAGTGATCTTCCACATCCCCTTGCCAGCCAGGAGCAGATGCAGGTGGCACAGCTGAGGGCTCTAGTTATAGCAGGGAGGTCCCAGACAGACCAAGTCCCTGTCTCTCCCTATCCTAGGGCTCCTTAGCAGTCAGGCAAGCCAGACCCACATGGATAGCCAGCAGGTTTACCTTTTGGGAAAACCAGGCTCCACCATGCCCATAGCTGCAGCTGCTTTGAGTCCTCCAAACCCAGATGCCTATGCTGCACAAATGTATATAACAGCCAAGCCCCATCTTGCCTTTGAATTTCACTGACCAGGGTCTCTCCTCTCTTTCTCTCTCTCTCTCCCTCTCCCTCTCTCTCTCTCTGTGTGTGTGTGTGTGTGTGTGTATGTGTGTGCGCGCGTGCGCGTGCGCGTGAGGGCAACAAGCATAGGAAGGCTCTTACCTGCTCAGATAGGGCCTCCACGTTGGGGGCATCCAGGGCACCTTGTATCTGGCTGTCAGGCAGGAAGTCCAGTTCCATTGTTGAGGACTCCTGCCATGTAGCCTCATCTCCAGTACTGGGAGCTGGCTGCTGCTCTGCCAGGTCTGTGGGAATTCCTGGGCTGCTATGACAGGCCTTGGTCCTCTGGGGAAGGTCACTACCTGCATGGCTATGCTTTAGCTGAGAGGAGGTGTCAGGGGACAAACTGAGGCTCTCAAAGTCTTGATGGCAGTTCAGGCTGCTTAACTCCACTACCTTTTGGTTCATGGGCTGTGCCTCTAAAGTCAGTGTTCCTATCTCTTCTGGCAACTGTCCATCAGAGCCAGAGTGCTTGGTCTTGACAGCTGAACTCATTTCCTGTTCTATATAGCCTGGATCTCCAGCATCCACCATGGGCTTTTGTTTTCCAGGAACTGCAGCCTCAGTGAGGCTTGCCAGGATGTCACCATGGGGCCCCTCTTCCAGTCTGGCCTCCTCTCTGCCTGCTGTAGTCTCCTCAGCAAGAGGTGTGTGGCCCAGCAGAGTCCCACTGCAGCCTCCACCAGGGGTCTGCCCATCTGGAGAGCCTGGCAGCGTGACCACCTCTGGAGCCCTCTGTTGCAGTAGAGAGGGATCTAAGCTCACATCTATGATGACACTGTCTGTAAGAGAGGCATCTACTGGGCTGCTGCAGCTTGGTATTGCACCTGTGCTGCTGATTATGTGTGTGGGGACAGGCACGGTGGGGTCTGAGGCAGGAGCTGATGCTGAAATGTAGAGGGTGCTTTCTCCTTCCTGGGGTTCCCCAGTCTGCTGTGTCCCTGTTCCTCCTTCTTGGGCACCTCCTTCCTGTGGGGTTCTGCTATCTGCCTGCCTTCCTTCAGCATCACCATCTGACAGGTATCTTTCCTGGCTATCACTGTCTTGAACCCTGGTCCTCTGCATCTCAAAATCACTGTTCCCTAGGCTTCCAATATCAGGGGAGATGGTCCTCTCCTTTGAGCAGGTACCATCTGCCCATGTCTGGTCTTCTGGTCTTCTGGCATCATGGAAAGGGAACTTCAGGGACTCCTTGTTTGGCTGGCTGCCTGCCTGGAAGGCACCCAGCTCTGGCCATGTTTCCTGTGGAAATAGGAAGATTCAGTCCTGGCCTTAGATGACCAAGCACTCTGGAGGATTCTCTAGATGCTGCAAGCCCTATCCTCTGGGTCAGATGGTTGCACACACCGCTAGGTACCACAGTGGGTTCCAGCAGCTGCCCTAGGCAGAGCTGTGTGCTGAGGCAGGAGGACAGGAAGCACATACACCTTTCATGGGTACTTCCCTGCCAGCACCAAGCATTCAGGAGCTTATAGCATAAAAATCCAGGTGGCACAGAGAAGCCCTGTCTCAAAAAAAAATGCAACATAAATGAATAAAATCCAGGTGTAGGCTGTGGGATGTCTTGGTAATAGAGCGCTTGCCTAGTTGCACAAGGTTCTGAATTCTATCCCCATCCCCAAGAGTCAATGAAAGGGTTAAAGTTTCTGCTTCCAGATGATCCAATGGTACTTAAGATTCATCAGCTCATTAGATTGTGTGTGTGTGTGTGTGTGTGTGTGTGTGTGTGTGTGTGTGTGTACACGTGCACGTGTGCATGCATATCCTTGTACATATGGAGGCCAGAGGACAAGTTGTGGAAATTGGTTCACTCTCCTTCCACTAAGAGGGTCCTCAGTTATCAGATCTGGTGACAAGTGTCTTGACCTGACCATCCATCTCACCAGCCCCTTATCACCTTAAAGAAGATATACCAGAACCAGTGAGAAGGCTCAGTGGGTAGAGTGGCACTTTTCTGTCAAGGTATGATGGAGAAAACTGACTCCTCAAGTTGCTCTCTTACTTCTACACATGCACCGTGGCACATGAACACCTACACTCATACTCATGCATATAGGTAATAAAAATTCCGTTAGAAAACCAGCTGGGGTTGGGCTGGACTTGGTGGCACATATATATCATCACATTCAGAGACTGAGTAAGGATTCAGAGTTTGAGGCTGTTGTGGTCCACATTAGTGAGATTCTGTCTCAAATGCCCAATGGTGATGACGGTAAAATAGAGACCTTTCTACCATGAGGCCATAGTAACCATGCTGTAACAATTGCTACAGAAAGTTCCCTGTGCCTTTTCCTCACATCTTCCAGTGTTGACACCCTGGGTTGCTCAGGCATATCATGGCCTAGATGTGAGTTTGGAGGAGATCTACCTTTCAACACTGGTGACACACCTGCAATCCAGCACTTGGGAGGTGGAGGTAGGAGAATCAGGAGTTTAAGGGCCAATCTTGGCAACATGCCACCTGCCTAACAATCTTTCCCTGCAGAAAGAGCCACCATGAGGAGGAAGCTAAGGAGCCATGACAACAGTTGCCTCCACTAAAGCTGCTCTTGTTCCATATATACTGGATTTGAAACTGGGCCTCCCTGTGGGGCCTGACTGGCTTGGAGCTTGCTGGGTAGACAAAGCTGGTACAAACTCAAAACACACGTCTCTGCCTCCCAAGGGAGAGTATATTATTTTGCTTCAAGACAGGGTCTCTGTGTAGCAGCTCTTGCTGTCCTGAAACTCACTTTGTACACCAGGCTGACCTCAAACTCACAGAGTTCTGCCTGCCTCTGCCTCCTGAGTGCTGGGATTAAAGGTCTGCACTACCACCACCGGCTAAAATTTTGTTTTTTGTTTTTTTGAACAAGATTTCTCTGTGTAGGTTTATAGCCTGTCCTAGAACTCTCTCTGTAGACCAGGCTGGCCTCACAGAGATCCTCCTGCCTCTGCCTCCGGAATGCTGGGTTTAAAGACATGAGTCACCATAACTCAGCAAAAAATTTTTTATTATTACTGTTGTATATGTGATGTTAGATATGTATGAATGATAATGTGTGATTCATTATGTGTGTATGGGATGTATACATATGATGTATGCTATGTGTGATATATATGTTTGTATATATATGGGGGGCTGTAGGAGAAAGTGCAGACATGACCTGGCAGCCAGTCTACTTTGCACACTGTGCTTTTGAATAAGTATGGCCTACCATACTCCTGAAGTCAGAACACCCAATTCTGAAGTAGCATGAGTAGTCAGTCATAGCTGCCTGAGGACTGGTCTGCACTCTCCATGTCAGACCCTGGTGGTGTGAGCGCTCATTGTCCTATCAGTGGTAACATGCTAACCAATCATAGTCAATAGACTTCTATGTAAGTGGTCACTCTCAAAGGTTGGGGGTGGTGCATGCCTTTAATCTCAGTACTCAGGTGGCAGAGGCAGGGGAAATCTATGAGTTTGAAGGCAAAATGGTCTAGAGAGCAAGTTCCAGGATAGAGAAACCTTGTCTAAAAAATATAAATAAATAAATAAAATAATAATAATAATTTTAAAAAAGTTGCATTCCATCTCTACCATACTTTTATCCACTCCACCTTTAAAACCTGTCAACCAATTGTCTGCCTTAACTCTATAATCCCAACCATCCAATTTCCCACCCCAAAAAGACTAGTTCTCATGAAGCCCAACCTGACCGCAAAAGCTGGTGCATAGCTCAGGTTAGCCTTGAATTTCTGGTCCTCCCATTTCTACCTACTTTCTAAGAGCTGGGATTTCAGGCAAGCACCATCATACAGTTTGTGCATTGTTGGGGATGGATGCTGAGCACGTGCTGTACCAGACATCCCCAGCCCCATTAATCTATGTACATTTGTGTGCTGAGAAGATTCCAGGGTCTTGTACTGCCTACTCAAATGCTCTGTCATTGAGCCAAGCCCCAATCCCAACATTCACCCACTGAAGGTTACTTGGAGTATTCCCAGGTAAGGACTACTATAAACTCTGCTGCTGCAAAGGCCACTGTGTACTCTCCTCCAGGGGCATGTTTCAAAAGCAACATTGTCAACTCCAGGATTCATGGTGGCAAGGACAATCCTACGACTCTTGAGGGCTGGAGAAATGGCCAAGTGTTTAAGAATATATAGTATTCTTGCAGAGGACCTGAGTTTGAGTCCCAGCACCCAGTTCAGGGGGCTCACAGCTGTCTGTAACTCCAGCTCTGGGTCCTCTGGAACAGCACCTAGTGCTTCTAACTGCTGAGCCACCTCTCCAGCCCTCACTTAAAATGCTCCTGACTTGCACAGAAGTAGAGGAAGCTCTCGGGAAAAGTCTACCTTTCTGAATTTGACTGTTTCCATGCAAGCTGCAACCCATGTTCCACACAGTGGTCTCAGATGTGCTACTCAGCACACAGTGCACAGTGGGAACCTGGCTCTTACCTGGCTTCCTGTGCAGCTCTTTGGAACCTCTTTCCATGCCTTGGCCTTTCTTGTTATTGTCTTCTTTGATTTGGCAAACTGAGGGACAAACCTCCTGACTGAGTTCTGTAAAAGGGACACAAGAACAGAGTAGCCACATGGAAGAATGGGGTCTAGAAAAAGCAGCCCCAACACGTCTCTCTCTCTCTCTCTGTTTTTCCAGTACTCAGGATTGAACTTCCCTGAACACTAGGAAGCACTCAACCTCACAGTTACAGACCAGCTCTTATGCTCTATCTGTTTTCCTTCTTCTCCTCCTTCTTTGGAGAGAAGCTCTCTATATAGCCCTGGCTATCCTGGGAATAACTATGTAGACCAGGCCTGCCTCTGCTTCTTGAGAGCTGGGACTAAAGTTGTGTATCACCATGCCCAGTTCCCCATTATTTTAAGTCCCTCCCCCTGGAATTTTGGTTTTTGAAATGAGACTTCATATAACTTAGGCTGGCCTTGATCTTGATATATAGCTGAGGTTGACCATGAATTCTAGCACTCCTCTGGAGTGCTAGAATTGTAGGCATGTGCCTGGTTTATGTAGCCTTGAGGATAAAACCCAGGTTTTCATGCACGCTAGGGCAAGCATTCTACCAACTGAGCTAACATCCCTAACTCTTTTTCCTCTTACCCTACATCCCCAAACCTCCCCCCATGTTTCTTGAGACAAGGTTTTACTCTTGTAGTCCATGCTAGTCTAGAACTTACTGGGTAGTTCAGGCTAGCCTTGGACTCAGAGATTCACTTGTCTCTGTTTTCCAAATTCTGTAATTAAATTCTGTATATTACCATGCCTTGCTTTGATTTCCTTTCTTGTTGTCTTCTGTCCCTGCATCCCTGTAGGCAGTGAAGAGCTGCTGGCCATGAACAGGATATAGACCTTACTATAATAGGAGGCTCACCTGGGAAGGAGGCTGGGAGACTAGCTCTTCTGGTGACCCTGGGAGGTCAGAGGCAGCTCTTGTGTCCTCCACAGAGCAGCTGGGTAGGGAGAAGCAAAACAGAGAAGGACTTGAAGGCCTTCCAGATGTCACTTACAAACCAAGACAAAGGGAAATCAGAGGTGAAGCTCCAGCAGTAGAGCCTAGTGTGTGAGGCTGTGAGTTCTATCCCCAACACACACTTATTTATGCATGCATACACCCACACACGCACAGTCACATGCACACACACATGCACAGTCACATACTTTCTTCCTTAAGGACAAAGGGAGATGAGAACCTAAGTGAAAAGTAATTCTGAACCTTCCAGGGAGAGCCTGGAAATTCCTTTCTAGGGTTTAAAAAATATATCAATTCCATTTCCCCATCATAGGGCTGAGGATGGAACCCAGGGTCCGGTACCTGCTAGGCAATTACTTTACCACTAGGCTCCAGGTACAGAATATCTGTTTAGAAAGGGTGGGATTTACAAAGAAGCATGGTGCATATACAAAGTATAGTATTACTTAGCAATAAAAGAAGAATCTGGGAAAGAGCTCCATGGGTAGAAGCCCTTGCCATACAAGCAGGCCTATATAAAAGCCAGAGGAGTGGTGCAAAAACTGTAATCCCAGCACCCCATGAGAAGGCAGGAGAAGCCTGGAAGCCTGTGAGCAGCTGGCCTGTCCATAAAAGAACAACAGATACCTTGTCTCAAATAAGTGGAAAGTCAGGACTGACACCACAGGTTGTCCCTGACCTTCTCTGATGTCCACACAGATGATATACTGCAAGTCAGCCCCCATTCACACACACCAAAAACAAAACAAAACAAAAAAAACAAAAAAAAAACCTAAACAAACAAAAAAAACAGAAAAAGAAACAAAGGAAAGAGGGGGGAAGAAAAAGAAAATCCTATCCAGGCATGGTGGTGCACACCTATAATCCTAGCACTCAGAAGGCACAGGCAGGCAGATCTCTGAGTTCAAAGCCAAACTATAGAGCAAGTTTCAGGCCAGCCAGGGATGCCCAGTAAGACTGTGTCTCAGACATTTTTAAAAATATCTTTTAGGTTCTGGGGTAGCTCAGTAGAATGCTGACATGCTGAGGGCTGGATTCTATCCCAGCCATGCAGATGCAGAGTAAATTACAAGTTTTACACTGAGGTCATTTGTGTGGCTTCTGGAACATCAGCAAGATTTTTCTCCATTTTGTTTCTTTTATATTGGCTTCCCCCCCCCCATCTGTCTTTCTCTGTATATGTGCTGCTTTTTAAAAGAGAATTATTTTATGTAGATAAATGATCTATCTGCATGTGTAACGTTATGCCTGAAGGCATCAGATCCCACTGTAGATGGTTGTGAGCCACCACGTGGTTGCTGAGAATTGAACTTAAGACCTCTGGAAGAGCAGCCAGTGCTCTTAATCTCTGAGCCATCTCTCCAATCCCAACGGTGCTATTTCTCAGTGTGGACATTAAAAAATAATAGCTCACGATGGGTAGACTCTCCACTTGCACCCTCAGTTCTGTAGACTGGGAGGCCTCACAGCAGTGCAAACCCACTGGCCTAGAAGTGAGCACAGGATTACATCTCTGAGAAGGAAGGATTAGGTGACATGTGGCTCACACAAGTCTGTGGAGCCAACACTTGTGGCTTCATGGTGCCACTGTTAGCAAGGCTGTTGTGGCCTGAAATCAGACAGACAGACAGACAGACATAACTTATATTGGGCTGAGCACATGCTCAATATTTTTAATTCAGTAAATGTGGTAACCTAGCCACAATGTCTTCCCCAAAGACTTGGTTCACCAGTCACCTTGTTCTCCTAATTCCACTTTCCTCCTTCCTTCCTTTCTTTTGCAGATAGGGTCTCACTATGTAACCCAGCTGGCTTCCAGATAACAGAAATCTACCTGTCTCTGATTCCTGTGTGCTGGGATTAAAGGCATTTGTCACTGTGACTGGCCTGTTTTATATATGTGTGTGTGTACATGTACATGCATGCACCCAGAAGACCACCTCAGGTGTCATCCTCAGGGCAACTTTGAGAAAAGAGTCGCTCACTGGCCTGAAACTCACCAGTTAGGCTACACTGGCTGGATAGTGAGCCCCAGGGATCAATCCATCCTACCTCCCCAGCACTGGGATTATAGGAGTATTCTACCATGCTGAGACTTTTACATGGATTCTTGAGGGAACTTATTTAGTCTTTGTGCTTATGAAAAAAAATGCCTTTCTACCTGAGCTGTCTTCCCAGCTTCAACCTCTAGTGTGGCTGAGACTAGATTGGTATTAACTGTAACCACTCTCCTAGGTGAATAGAGCTACAAGAAGCAAGACCTGGGCCCAGGCCCCACAAGGGGTTGCAGTGGTGGCAGATCATCCTGGTCCACTCCTTTTTGTCTTTCCCATGGATTTGATGTGAATGACTGAAGCAGATGCCCACTGAAAAGTTCTGAGCCACCTACCTGGAAGCTGTAGGTTGTGGTTCCTCCCCACCTAGCTCCACAGAGGCAGCAGATTCAGAGGTGTCTTCTGACTCCCTGGAGTGCTGTGACTGCATCAGCAGGGAGCTCTGGGAGCTTCCAGAGCTGTCTTCTGACTCTCCAGAGTGTTGTGACTGCATCAGCACAGAGCTCTCAGGGCTTCCATGGGGGTCTTTCAGCCGTGGGTTCTTAGAAGGTTTTGAGAAAGGGAGGCCACTCCCTGGTTTGGAGAGAGAAGTGAGGGGCAGGGATGTGGGTCAGGAATAGATAGCATGGCTGTCAACCTAGCACAGGAGGGGCACAGCTAGACTATAGTTGAGTGGGTTCATGTTGTGGGCTCAGGTTGTAGTTCTGGTGCTAACCTGGTAATGGGGCAATGGGAGTGAGTTCCACTCAAGACCCAGGACCCATTCCCTCTTGTGGCCAAACAATTAGATTGTCTTTTCTGGTGAGGCTGGATCTTATCTGTAGCCCAGGCTGGCCATCCTGCTGCCCCAGCTTCCAGAATGCAGGAATGATGGGTGGTCTGCATTTTGGAAGCTGATTCAAGGGCTTTGTGTGTCCATGTGCAAGTGTACCTGATTTTGCATGTACATGTGTGTGAAGACCAGGGGTAAACATATGGGGTAATTTCCCAGGAGTCACTGAGCGTATTGTTTGACAGGGACTCTCAATGGAATCTGGAACTCCTCAAGTAGGCTAGGCTGGCCCAGGGAACGTTGTCTGCCTTCCCAGTACTAGGATTACAAGTGTGCCACATCACAGGTGTATCACCAACTGAGCCATCACCTAAGCTTTAATCTATAATTTGGCCATGACTGACATAGAATCTTTTATTTGTATTATTTTTAAATTTTTATTTTATGTATATGGGTATTTCATCTGCCTGTATGTCTGGTTCCATGTCCATGTGTGGAATCTGCAGGGGCCAAAGAAGGCATCAGATCCTTCTGGATCTGGGATTGGATTTACAGACAGCTGTGAGCCCCATGTGGGATATGGGAATCGAACCTGGGTCCTCTGGAAGAGCAGAGCATCCTCCAGCTCCTAAGACTAATGTTGAAGTAGTGTGGCTTCAAACCATATAGGACAAGGGGGACCAGACCCTCTCTCCCCTGGGAGAAGTGTGTCAGGTCTCAGTTCAAATGGCGGCGCCGTATCTGAGGTCCCTGCGAGCTCCCCCTTCTTCCCCATGGTTTTCCTCTTCATATGATAGTTGACAGTGCTTCTGCTAGCCTCTGGGGGCATCTCCTGTCCCCCATGACTGAGCTACGTGTGAGCAGAGCTTGTACTCCTCTTTCTTCCTCTGTGTTGACTAGAGGAATGTACAGGACAGCACTGGTGTTCAGTGATCTAAAGTGATAACTAAGCACACACAGAAGCCAAATGTGATGGTGCATGCCTTTAGAGCTAGCACTTTGGAGGCTAAGATAGAATTAAGAGTTTGAGACCAGCCTGGATTACGAGACCCTGTTTGAAAAAAAAAAAAAAAAAAAAAAAACAACCAAAACCAAGCTTCTTTAACATACCTTCATTAGGCATAAACAATGAAACCCTGGAGTACACAAGCTGCCCTAGACACCTGCAGAATGTCTTGCACAAAGTGGGGCCACAGGCACAGGAAGAATAGGTATGTCCCCCAGCCCAGTGCTGGAGGTGGAATCCAGGGCTTCTCACAGGTTAGGTAGGCCCAGTTTTAAGTTCTGAGATAGGGTCTTTGAAGTTGCCTGGGCTTACCTTGCACTCTCCTGCAGTCCCAGCTGGACTTCACTCTTCATTCCTTTCCCACAGCCTCCTAACTGAGACAGCATGCCTGTGCCACCAGGCCCCGCTTGAAGGAAGCCAGTCAATCATGGCTGGCCTCTCAGACCTAGCCCCACTCTAAGCCTATGTTCAATGAACACAGCAAGTCACACATGTGTATTCTTAGACCTAGTGTGCTATGAGGAGGCTTCAAGGATAATCTTCTGTGATATCAGCCCTCATTTCTTCAGACACAGTCTGGCTGTGTACCCAGGCTGGCCTTGAACGAGTACTCTTCTTGCTTCAGTTTCCTCAATTTGGGGATGACAGGGAGACTGCCACACCTGACCTGTGATGCCATTTTCCAGGGAAGAAAGCTGTGGCCAAGTAACAAGAAAAAGATCTGGTTCAACTCCAGAATCTACACACTCAAGAGTCTTGTGGAATATTACTTTAACTATGTGAAGGTGTGTTACATTTGTTTATGCTGCCTTTATTTAATTATGGAAAGGTGTGTTGCTGTTTCACCTTGCCTGCCTAAGGCAACTGTCTGGTCTAACAAAAGCCATAACTGAAAGGCCAATAGTTAGGCAGTAGAGGGATAGGTGGGGCTGGTGGGCAGAAAGAATAAGTAGGAGAGGAAATCCAGGCTCAAGGAAGGAGAGAGAGGAGAGAACAAAAGAGAAAGAGAGGGAGATGCCTGGGGCCAGGAGGCAAGCAGCCACCAACCAGCCAGACACGGAAGAAACAAGAAAGTAACATATACAGAATGAAAAAAAGGGTAAAAAGTCCTGAGGCAAAATGTAGATAAAGAGAAACAGATTAAAACGAGAGCTAAGATAAGACCAACATTCATAACTAATAACAAGTTTCCGTATCATGATTTGGGAGCTGGTTGGTGGCCCAAAAGCCTGTTACAAGAGTCCTTTGTACATTTATAGTGCACCTACAGTATACTGGGCTTCTTCCCAGGCAAGTAGAAAAACCAAACCTGAATACTTTCTGAATTCAGTCAGACTCTTGCCAGGATCAGCTCAGGTATTTTAAAAATCTAGAGATTAAGCTGGGTGGTGGTGACACATACCTTTAATCCCAGCACTTGGGAGGCAGGGGCAGGCAGATCTGTGAGTTTGAGACCAGTCTAGTCTACAAGAGCTAATTCCAGGACAGGTTCCAAAGCTACACAGAGAAACCCTGACTTGAAAAAAAAAAAAAAAAAAAAAAAAACCTAGAGATCAGTACAATATTGAGCGTCTGAGTTTAGATCCACACTGCATATAAGAGCCAGGAATGTGGCATCTGTCTGTCCCCAGCCCTGGAGGGTTGAAGATGGCATCTCTGGAGCTTCTTGGTGAACTTGGTGAGCTCCAGACCAGTGAGAACAAATGAAGTGGAGAGTGACTGAGGAAGGCAACTGAAACTGACATCTGACTCTACATACATAGACACACACAAACAAGTGCACACACACGAATACGTAAACATACAACAGGGCTAGGATGGAACTGAGGACCTTAGGTATGTCAGGCAAGTATTGCACTGCCAAGCCATACCGCAGCTCTCCAGTCCTTCCTTTTGCTTCATATTTGCTGAGTGGTGCTCTCACTAAGACTCTGCAGGTGTCCAGTACTACTAGGTGTGTTCCAGCCTCTATTCACACTGCTGCCCAGACCTTGCTCTCACAGGTACCTGCTCCAGCTGGCACTGTGGGCCTAGGGATTACTAAGGATGTTTCTTATGTTCTCACCTCTTACTCTGCCACAAAATACAAAAATAAATAAATAGCTTTGGTTGGTTGCCTGAGATTGATCCCAAACAGCAGCTTGCTTGGCTGACTTGGTGGACATTTGTACCAAAATACAAGGCCATGATCACTCTCTGCACAAAACAGGTATGAGTTGTTAGTCATTTTTGTCTTACGTCTGAGGGGAAAATGTACACCAATCTTTAAATTCATTCCTCCTGGCCAGGTGTGCTGACACACACGTTTAATCCCAGCACTTGGGAGGCAGAGGCAGGAAAGGCCAGCCTACATATCAAGTACCAACAAACTATACAGTAAGACCTTGTCTTAGAAATAAATAAATGAAGGATCATCCTCCCCAAGGAAAGAAAATGCTTCTGAGTTTCAGACACCTTAGTAACAGGGACACTGGGTGCTTTAAAGCCACTGCAGTCACACAAGCCTATAATTCTAGCATTGGGAATCTGAGGCAGGAACACAAATTCTCATCCAGACTGGACTACATAAAAATAAAAAAAGAAGACAAACAGTGTAGTGGTCTGAATAAAAATGGCCCCCATAGGCCCATAGAGAGTGGCACTCTTAGGAGGTGTGGCCTTATTGGAGGAAGCGTGTCACTGGGAGTAGGCTTTGAGGTTTCAGAAGCTCAAGCCAGGCCTAGTGGCTCAGTTTTTCTTCCTGAGGCCTGTGGGTCTAGACGTAGAACTCTCAGCTACCTCTCCAGCACCAGGTCTGCCTGTGTGCCACCATGCTTCCCACCAATGGTAACAGATTAAACCTCTGAACTGTAAGCTAGCTCCAATGAAATGTTTTCCTTTATAGGAGTTGCCTTGACTATGGTCTCTTCACAGCAACAGAAACTTTAAGACGCCCACCAGCCCATAGAAAGCATTGGTTAAGGGGCTAGAGCACTTCTACTCCTTTCCAGAGGGCATGGGATGGGTTCCTAGCACCCAGGGGCTTCATTCCTCTTGTGGCATGTACACACTTTAAAGTTTTTTTTTTTTTTTTTAACTAGGCATTTTTATTTTCCTTTTTGAGGGGGAGAGTGGGCAGCAGTGACAGGGCTTCGTGTAATTAAGCTGGCCTCAAACTCACAATGTAGCCTAGGATGATCTTGAGCTTCTCTGATCCTCCTACCTCTACTTCCCCAATGCTGGGATTATAACTGTCCATTACCTATCCTGGTTTATGTGGCACTGGGGATAGAACACTGAATTTCACATATATTAGGCAAGCATTCTATCAACTGACCTGGATTTATTATTATTATTTTATTTTTGTTTGTTTTTCCATTTTCTTCAAGACAAGGTTTCTCTGTGTAGACCTGGTTATCCTGTAAACCAGGCTGGCCTCAAACTCAAGAGATCTACCTGCCTCTGCCTCCCGAGTGCTGGGATTAAAAACAGGCATGCGCTAGCACTGCCCGGCTATTATTTTCAAGTAGAGAAAAAGGTTCTTGTTTTTTGGTTTTGTTTTTTCATATTTGATACCAGGGCCTTACTTATACATACCAGACAAATGTTCTAGACTCAGCTACACTCCTGGGTTCTCAAGTGAAGAAATTTTACATTGTCTATCACAAGCAGAGTCCATTGTGATACTGAGAACTCAAAAACAGAATCGATAAGTCGGCATGTGTGGTGTGTGATGGTTGTATTCAGTACAAACACGGGCTAGGGAGGTGGCTGTCATGAAGGCTGTCATAAGGATTGAGTTTGGATCCCAGTACCCATGTAAAAGCCAAGCTAATCACATATCAGCCTATAACCCCATTACCTGGAGGTGGAGTGAGGGATGAAAATAGCCTTACTGAATTGATGAGCTTCAAGTTCAGTGAGGGACCCTGTCTCAAAAATAAAGTGGAGAGCTATTGAGGAAGACACTTGATACTGACATCTGACCTCAACATACAAGCACACCTGCACATAACCATTAAGACACCCACATATCACAAAGGGAAAAACCCAGTATTTGAGTGTCAGAGCTTTCTGTAGCTATAGGTTTCTCATTTACAGGTTTACACCATGGATGGAGAAAAACTGCACCTATATTAACCACATAAAGATATTTCCTGGCCACCTCCCTAAACATCACAATATAATGATTTACTATCATTTACATTCTGCTCAGTATTCTCAGTCATCTAGGGATTAAGTCTGCTGGTAGATGCTATGCAAACACTCCAGTGTCCTATATAAGGCACTTGGGCATTGTGATTCTGGTAGAGAGGGGGTCCTGAAGGAATCTAGCTGTACACAGCAGAGTATGGAAGTAGAAATATAATGAGGTTGGTTTCCTGTTTTTAACAGTTTGCTCACTGTCCTTTGATTCTGTTAGATATTAATGCTAGGAGAAGCTGGGGAAGAAAAGATAATGGATTCCCTCACACCATTTCTGAGATTTATCAGTAAGCCTCAAATTATTTCAAAATTAAAAGTTTGGCTTTTTTCTTTTCTTCTTTTTAAAAAGTTTTTTTGAAACAGGTTTCTCTGTGTAATAGCCCCGGCTGGCCTCAAACACAGAGATCCACCTGCCTCTGCCTCCTGAGTGCTGGGACTAAAGGTGTGCTCCACCACTGGTAAAGTAACAGAACTGTTTGTCTTGCGAAGAATTAGGTGGTGTGGCCTTGTTCAGAGTTTCAAAAGCCTGCACCGGGCCTCGCCTCAGTCTTTCTCTTTCTCTCCTGTCCTGGACCTGCAGTGTGTGGAAGATGTAAGCTCTCAGCCTCTGCTGCAGCGCCATGCCTGCCTGCTGTATGCCCTGCCTTGATGATCATGAATTCACCCTTAGAAACCACATGGTGGTACACTTGGGAGGCACAGGCAGAGCCAGGCTGATCTCTGTGAGTTTGAGGCCAGCCTGATCTACAGAGTGAGTTCCAGGACAGGCTCCAAAGCTACAGAGAAACCCTGTTTTGAAAAACCAAAAAGAAAAAGAAAAGAAAAAAGGAAGAAAGGAAAAAAGAAACTGTAAGTAAGCCCCCAAATAAATGCTTTATAAGTTACTTTGGTCATGGTGTCTCCTCACAACAGAACAGTAACCAAGACAAGTTCTGTCTACTTGTTTTAGACAGAGTCTCTCATTCACCTGGAACTTGCCAAGTAGGCTAGGCTGGCTGGCCAACAAGTTCCAGGAATCAGCCCATCTCTGCTCCTCCACTCCAAGCCTGAGATTACAAGCATGTATCACACATCTAGCTTTTATATGGGCTGTAGGGACTGCAATCGTGTCTTCATGGTTACAAGGCAAGCACTTGATCAACTGAACCATCCCTCAATGCCTGAAACGTGGATTTAATTCATTTATTTACTGACTAAAATGCTAATATTTTATATTCTATCATAAATGTTCTGACATTTAATTTTGGCAAATTCATTTACTTTTTAAAAAAACTGTGCAACCAACTGTTAACTATAATGGAATTCACTAGCAAGGGTAGTACCCTCTCAAAATCCCCATGTCCCAGCCTCACTGGCTTCAAGATCCCACAGAACTTTGCTAAACCAGCCTGTGTGGGAAATGGTGGCTTCACATGAGGCAGAAGGGAGACAGAGCCTGGGCTCCTTAAAACTGAGAATCCAGGGAGAGAAACCGGAGAGAGGTGTGGAAGAGCAGGGACTTGGTAGAGGAGGGGCTAGCAATGGGAAAACCACAAAGCTAAACAGTATTTTTCAATGTAATCAAGAAATAGTAGACTTAGGTTTTTAGTTTTAAGGGGGGGAGGGAAATGCATCTTCCATTCATAATCAGGCACAATATTTCCAAACAAAATACTCAGGTATGGGGAAAAAAAAACTTCACCCACAAATATACACACACGTGATAAATAGTTTAGGACATCAGGAACCAGGAGGGTCCTCTCCCTTTCATGAAGGCATACAGACAGCGGGACCAGGTAGTGACTGCTTGGTGGCCTTCAGCAGTGGGAGCCGCACTGTTGGCAGGCTGGTCCCTTGGCAGCAGCGGATTCTATCATTATTTATTTATTTATTTACATGGGGGCAAGGTCAACAGGTCATGAGATGGCTACCCTTAGTACCACTGCAAGTTGCTATGGGTGTGGAACTACAGTTGGTGCCCAAGGACACACCCAGGGTCAGTCAGAAGACCAAGGGTGCCTTTTATCTGGCTTTTATGTTAAATCACAGCCACAGAGCATTTGCCTCAGAGAGTGAGATCCTGGGTTTATCCCTAGCACTACAAAACATAGATCAAGACAGGTGCATTTACTATCACTCACTTACTTAATTAGGAACTTAATTAGGACAGACTAATTTAGCCACAATTAAGTGGACAGTGTTCAACCAACCAGAGGTTTTTGTTTTATTTGTTTGAGACAGGGTTTCTCTGTGGAGCTTTGGGGCCTCCTGGAACTCCATGTGTAGACCAGGCTGGCCTCTGAATTCACAGAGCTCCACCTGCCTCTGCCTCCCAAATGCTGGGATCAAAGGTGTGCACCACCACCACACAGACCAACCCAATTTTTTAAAATCTAGACTAGAAATATTCACATATCAGCTAATCTGGCATTAGCCCCTGAGATGGCTATACTTCTGTTCTGAAACCTGAAATGGGAAAGACCTCTTGGTCCCCTAGCTTTAAGACCAGTGGCTAAGGGGAATACTAGAAAACTTTCACTTTTTACTATAAATCCTCCATAGTTTCTATTATTACTAGCCTGATGGGAGATGTCATTCTGTATATATGTTTCTCATACTGGTTAATGAATAAAGCACTGTTGGCCAATGATGGATGTGGGTAAGATGAGACCACATGGAAATACATAGATCAACAGAAATGGAGATTGGGCTCATGCTTGTTTTGCAAGCATTTTACCAAGCCACCTTTGCAACCCTATAGTGAGATCCTGTCTATTTATAAAACATCAGAACACCTGAGCTTGGTCCACAGCACTTGGAAAGCTGAAGCAGCAAGATAGATAACAAGTTCAAAGCCAGCCTGGGCTACATTATATATTAGTCAGATTTCTATTACTGTGATAAAGCATTATGACCAAAGCTGCCTGCTGGCTTTCTTATATAACTCAGGACTTGTCCCCAGGCAGCATGCCCCCCAGTGAGCTGGGCCCACCCACATCCATCATTAACCAAGAAAACGTACTATAGACTTACCTACAAACAAAACTTTTGGAACCTTTTTCTTGATTGAGAGCCCCTTTTCCCAAATGACTCTAGCTTGTGTCCAACTATCATAAAACTAGTCAGTATGCATGGCAAGAATCCCCTCCCATCTCAAAAACACACATAAAAAACAAAAATAAATGGTCAACTTGGGATGGAGATGTAGTTGTGGTAGAGTACTTATTCAGGCCCAGTATCTCAAATAAGTAAGTGAATATTGAAAAGCCAGTCTGAAGCCAGATGGTAATGGCACACAGGGTGGTGAAGGTAAAGGCAATAGGATCTCTGAATATTAGGCCAACCTGGTCTACAGAGCCAGTTCCCGGGGGCTACACAAAAACCCTGTGCCAAAAAAAGCAAATGAGACAACAACAATAATAATAAAAAATAAAAAGCCAGTTTTAATAAACCAAATACCTGAGCTCCGCTGCTTCTTCTTATTATTCATTTTATCTTTCCCTGAGAAATCTGAAAACAACAAACAAACTCTGCAGCTATTGCTAGCACTGTATGTCCCCATATTTCCCTTTCACTGGCCCATCTGGCAGCTTGGTGGGGGGAGGGGGGGAGAGTCAGCTAGACTCCAGGAAGACACTGGGTGGGACGCCAGATCAGAGCCATCTTGGACCAGGGCGGGCAGGAATTCACACCTTTTTCGTGTGTACGGAACTACCTTTTGTCCTCTTCAGGATCCTTACTCTAGTCCCTGGGTTGGAGGCTACTGTGCCTCACCCCCCACCCCCATGGCGCCCGCCAAAGCTCATGTATATGGGATGTGGGGTACTTGGAGGCTTTTGAGAGGCCACTGGAGACCCACCCAAGTCCCAGAAGGCTTTAGCAGGGCCACCCGGGGCAGGAGTCTCTTCTGGCCAATGTCTTCGGGCTGTGGAACCCAGGCAAACCAAACCAACCTGGGCCACAGCGGAGATGGAAGTCGCTCTGTCCTTAGTAGGGAGGTCAGCTGGGATCCAATGGGGAATAAATCACCTAAATTACTTGAGTCATGTTTTGAGAAAAAAAAACATCGGCAGTCACGGGACCACGTGGTCGACTGGCGCTGGGGGTCGCGAGGAACCGGGCGGTCCTGGCGACCTGCCTCACAGTGACCGACAGCAGTAACACCCCCACACCTCCACAAAGCTAGACAGAACAGGGTGCAGCCTGAGGAGCCACGGCCCTCTAGCTGTCACACGGCCGCGCCCTCACACCTGCAGCTCTCCACCTCTTTCCCGCCCGCGAGGCCCCGCCCCACGCAGCGCAGTACCCATGCCTGGCCTTACGCATGCTCCGCCTCCTCTCCGCGCGCCTCATGTCAGGCGCATGCGCGTTCACGCACTGGCTGCCGGGAATTGTAGTTTAGTTACAGAAATCCTGCGAATCCTGTGGCCGGGCTCCCGAAGGCCAAGGCGGAAGCAGGGTGGCCAAAACTCGAGAATTCCGGGGGCCGGGCTCGGAGGAGGGTCTCGGGACTCCGGAGCACAGCGAGCTGAGAGACCCGGCTTCGGGGAAGAGGCAGAGTAAGACGAAGGTTCCAGGGCTGATAGTCCGGGCTTCGACCCTGGAAGATGCACAAGAGGAATGGACCCCCGGCACCCCCGGGCCGAGGCGCTGTCACCGCCCGCCAGGTGAGTGTGCGCCACTCTGCCCACCTAGGGGGTCTCTTCCCACCCTTCCTCAGGGTCTGTCCCCGCCCTTCTTAACACTCGCGGGGCGTGTCCCACCCCCGGAAAAGCCTGATCCTCGCTACCAAGTGAACCCAAGTCCCCGCCCCCCCGAGGTGAGGCTCACTCCTGACTGTATGGCCTACTGACCTGGGCCATCCAGCTTCTGGCTCCCCACCCTGGTTTTGGTAACACCTGTTGCTGCAGCAGTTGCAGCCGGGAAGAGGCAGCCATCAGACCAGCTTTTCAAGCCTTTGCTCAACTGGGCCAGGCCACACTCCTTACTCCCATTGTATAGATGAGGACACTGAGGCTCAGGGAGACGAAGACCTCTAACCAAGGTCACAAGATTGAATAGTCTGACCAGACAGAAATGTCAATTCAGAGGTGTACAGGAAAACCTACAGAACTGTGGCCCCTGCCATAGTCCCAGATCCAGAGCCTGTGGGAGTTTGATGTCTCAGCTTTGAACCAGGGAGCTCGGGCCTAGCTCAGGCTCAGGTCTGAGTCCACCTGACTACAGGTTCCCTCCTGCCCTTAGTACGTTTGACAGATGTATTTGTAGCCCTGAGCCTCAGTTTTCCCACCTGTGGAATGGAGGGCTGGAAGAGTCCCTACATGGCAGGGCAGTTGTAAAGACTTACTGAGATTGTTTATGAAAAATCTAGAATATAGTGTGAAATTATTATTCCCAGTAGGTGAAGCCATGCATAATTGCATGACCAATTTGGACTTATAGAAAGGGTAATTTCATGTAACTCATCATATTCTATTGGTCATTAGCCAAAACAGGAGGGCAGGTCTAGAGAAAAGACCCAGTTTCAAGTTAGGTGTTATTGTTAGGGCTTTTACTTTTAATTTTTTTTCCTTGCTATGCTGGGGATGGAACCCAGGGCTTTGCACATGGTAGGGTTAGGGTTAGCACTTTGTTGATGAATGCATCCACCAGCCCCAGTGTGGTACTTCCTAGGCAGGTTCTCAGCTGATGAGCCATGCGTGCAGTCAAAGGGCCAGAACACTGTTGCATGGCATGTGTGTCTCAGTCTCCTACCCTCCCCAAGAAACAGTTTACTTTTAGAGCTTTGGTTCCTTCCTACCATGGGGACTCTCTGGAGCCATCGTGGCCACCTGGGCTGAGTAGTGTACGGAAGGTCTAACTGGACCATGATTGTTCCCACAGCTCGGCCTGCTGGTTGATTTCTCCCCAGATGGCCTGATGATCCCTGAGGATGGGGTAAATGATGAGGAACTGGAGGCTGAGTTCTTGGCTTTGGTGGGGAACCAGCCCCAGGCCCTGGAGAAGCTCAAAGGCAAAGGTGAGATGCTTGACACACTTGTAACTTCTGCTGCAGACAGTACTTGGAGCTGGGCACTGGGTTGGAAGTAGGGGGGGAAACAAAAGACCCCACCTCCCTGGAGTCTGGGGTCTATGTCAGGGTCAGTTGTGAGTGCAACTGAGCCTTATCCAATCTGTTTTCTTTCTTTTTTTTTTTTAGAATTTGTGTGTGTCTGTGTATGTCTTTGTATGTATGCCACATGTGTGCAGACATACACAAAAGCCATAAGAGGCTGTCAGATTTCCAGAGCTGAAGTCAGAAGTCATTGTGAGCCATCCCATGTAGGTGCTGGGAAACAAACTCAGGTCCTCTGCTAGAATAGTATGCATTCAAAACCACCAAGCCATCTTCCCAGCCCCTCACTTTTGTGCCTTATGTGAATAATTTCACTGATTGCAGTATCCCTAAGCAAAGTGTTGCTTGGTGTTTTGAAGCATAGGTGGTAATCTTGTGCCTTTGGAAAGTAACGTGTGCATTAGGCAGTTGTGTTCAGGCTGGAGCCACAGGTCTGCGGGTCATCCGTTCAGTGTGCACTAGTCACCATACAGCAGATCTTTAGACAGAAGCAACAGAAGGTATGGTTGTGGGTTATTAGTTCATAAAACCATGACCAGAGGGCCAGCAAAATGGCCCAGTGGGTAAAGAAGCTTGCCTCAAGCCTGACAAGCCTGTGTTCAGTCCCTGGGGGTCAGTCCCCAGGACCCATGCGGTAGGAGGAGAGAACTGACCCTGTAAAATTGTCCTCTGAGCTCTACACGTGTGCTATAGCACACAACTGTGCACATATGCATCATGCACACATGAACACTAAATAAATGTGGAATACAACCTTAGTGGTATTTCCCAGTATCCAACAAATGAGTCTTTTACTGAACTTTACAGAGTACTGTTTTCTTAAACAAGAGTGCCGTGCCAACAAGATGCCCTTGATAGATTCCCGCTTGATTCGTGGTTTTTTTTTTTTTTTCACCTATCCACATCCAGTGTGGAGGTAATTAAATGGTGGAATTCCTGAATCATTGACAAGCCAAATTGTGTGATGCCAGGATAACATCTCAGCTACCCTCTCCAGGATGTGTGTCATCCTGTCCAGTGTATCCATGCTGCATCTGCCACACAGGAGACCTGCTCGTTCTCTTGTGGCCATCTAGCTTATCCAGTGAGCTTTATGATAGCCTTTATTTAACTTGATTATACCCCAACTACAAGAATGGGGATTCAAAGAAGGTGCCAGGGCGCAAGCCCGGGGAAGAAGGATGAGGCAGGGATAACTTATGCTTTGCCGCTCCAGGAATTTAATTCACTGTTAGTTCCCACTGTCTACTGCTAAGTTATCACTCTCCTGAAACCCAGGGAGGTAAGCTTGTTCAAGGTCATACAATGTGAACGTTACAGAGCTGAGGTTTGAACTCAGGGTACCTGGCAACATAGCTGAGACTGGCTAGGGAAGAGAAAAGTGCTTGAGGTTGGGCTTGGCAGGTGGTAGATGGCATCAGGCTAGAAGGGCTCCAGGATGGTGGGATACCACAGTGGTCAGGGAAGGGGAACTGTTATTCTGTTGCCTGCTGTACTGAGTGTAGGAATGGGCAGCTGGGGCTCTGGGAAGATCAGCTTTATCTGGGGACTCCTTCCTGCCCCCAGGTCCCCTGCCAATGGAGGCCATTGAGAAGATGGCCCGGCTCTGCATGAGAGACCTGGATGAGGATGAGGAGGAGACCGATGAGGATGATGTGGAGGCTGATGAGGACCTGCTGGTGAGCACAGGGCCAGGACATGTAGCAATATATCATCCCAGTGCCCTGTCCAGCAGCCTCTACCTCCTACCTTGGCCATGTATCCCTGCAGGCAGAGCTAAATGAGGTCCTTGGGGAGGAACAGAAGGCTGTGGATCCCCTGATGCCTGTGGCCCAGGTATGCCTCCCTAAGTCACACATACACACACAGCCTGGAGTTTAAGGTTCATCTTTCCCCCTTTCTACATGTGACCTTGGGCACAGGTGACATGCTACCTCTGAACCTCTGGACTGTGATCTCTCCATCATTGGGAGCGGGGAAGATTGTTCCAGGAGAAATAAGCGTTCATGCTATGAGGGGTTGGTCAGGGTGGCCTAAGTGGGATCACCAACCAGATTGTACACCCAATCCTCCTGTAGCCAAAGCCTTCAGGTTCCAACCCAGGAGTAGAGGCCGTATTGCAGGAGAGGCTAGCCCTCTACCAGTCTGCAGTGGAGAGTGCCAGGCAAGCTGGGGACAGTGCCAAGATGAGACGATATGACCGGGGGCTCAAGGTGAGCAGGCCAAGCGCGGGGTTCTGAGACTAACTGGACCCAGGAGCACTGAGCCTAAGTTATTCTCAGACTCATACTCATGCCCTGTTTCAGACACTGGAAAGCCTGTTGGCCTCTTCCAGGAAGGGCAACATCATCAATGAAGCGGACATCCCACCACTTGTCACTGTGGGGAAGGGACCAGCAGCTGGGCACAGTCACACCCACACTACTTCCCACCTGGCTCCGGTGGACCTGCCAGCCCCAGAGTCCAGTGTCACCTTAGAGGCTCCATCGATCACCCCACAAACCTCTGCCAAGCCCCAGCTGCCTCCAGGTAAGTGATGGGAAGGGCCAGGGTAATATAGGGTCTGTGTGGGCCCTTCAGAGACCTCAGAACATAGGCTGTGCATACAATGGCATTTTACCGTAAAAGAGAATGTTTTAAATTTTTAGCATGCTCTAACATGGAAGAGCCATGCAGACTTGATGTTAAGTGCACAAAAAAACAAAAGCATGTTTATAATGTGTCAGGCATGCTGGCACATACATGTGAATCCAGCACTAAGGAGGCCTGATGTAGGAGGATCACAACTTGGAGGACAACCTGTGCTACATAGAAAGACCCACCTCAGAAAGAGAAAAAGAGACTGGTAGAGTAGGTAAAGGCTGGGACCCAGCCAGAGTGGAGGAAGAGAATCAA